TTCTCGAGTCCGGGAGCTGGTGGCCATGGTGGGTAGTCAGGGCCTACCCCAGTGGGGACCCTCAGCTGGTGACATGATCTGAGTTCCAAGGCCCATGTGTCGAGAGCGCTTCAAGCCGTCTCACGAGACGGGGATGTTGGCAGGGCGCTGAAAGCCTGCTGCTCCCGGGCCCCGCACGGCCATCGCCGATTATTAAAATAATGGTATGGAAACCACACAGGCTTTGTGTACAGCCGCTCGATGTGAGCTTTGTTTGTTCCTCCTGCTGTTACCATGGCAGTGAGGCTGACTGGATAACCAGGTTTCTGCTTGATGGAAGGGAATAGATTCAAAATTGCTCTGGACAGGGAAGGGGGGGGGGGCGCGTAGATTGTCAAACACAGGTCTTTCCTTGTCTGTGTGCCTCAGGGCCCACAGTTCAACAGCAGCCATGCCCTGAAGTCTTTTGTGTAGATAAATGCTGCTCCTGACCTACAGCTTCCGTGGCTCCCCAGGACCCCGAGCCATCAGGGCTGCAGATCTTAGGATGGCTGGCAGCATTCCTGCCCTGCACACAGACCTGTCTGCCGGAAGCCCCTCTTCCTGCTGCCCTCTCCGGGAGCTTCATTCCTCACCCAGCTCGTCTGTGGCGGCTGCCAGCCTGTTAGTCTTCCTGGTGGCCTACCAGACCATCTAAGGCGCGACCTCCTAGCTCCACGGCCCTCTTCCTTGCCCGCCCTCTCGTTGGGTAGCTTCCTTTCTCCCACATCTATATGGTTCCTTCAAACGCGCTTTAGCCCTTGTGGGGGCCTGCACCTCAAGGTGCTCCAAGGTGGGCAGGATTGGAGTCTTGTCCAGTGTCTGACATGGTCTAACACTGTTAGGGGTGAGCTCCGGGACTCTCCTGGGACACCAGACTGTTCATATGGCACAGTGTCTGTCTGTAACCGCTGCCCATAGTGATGCACAGCCTCCTGGAATCAACATCAATACCGTATTGTCATTGAGTGCTGACAAGGAGATGCCTGTCTGTGCTGGATGGGTGTGGCTGACTGTTTTCAGCCACAGCTGATTGAACTGGAAATGTGGACCTCAGGATATGGACCATGCATGTAGACGATCAACAAACCCTGGCTGAACCAAATCAGAAAAAACAAAACAGAACAAAAACAAAAATAGGAAGCTCTGGGGGCCGCCTGAGGGTGGCTGGGTGTCTCTTACCCTTCCAGAACAAATGCCAGGATGTAAACCAGGCCTGGCAATACTTCTCCCATGCCTGGGTCCCAGCCAACTCATGCGTTGGGAAACTCAACATGCAGTTTAGCCTCTGAGACACTGGCTTGAGGTTCTCATCCCAAACTACAGCCACAAATGAATGCCCGAGGGCCTCCTTGGGGTCCAAGTCAGTCTCAGAGTCTGTGGGTCCCAAACACAGGGTGCCAGATTCCCCATTGTTAGAGACACAGCACACCTGTTGTCCACTGGGTGCCCACTCTGTGACTAGACTCAACCGGGTACTTACCATCAACCTGACTGGGCCATGTGCCCACTTTTTGGACAGAGAAAGGGAGATTCACCAGAGCACACAGGACACTGGCCAGATAGAAACAGTCCCCAGAAAAAGGGCAGGACGTGGGACAGCTGTAATGCTGCAAGCTACTGGCTACGGAGGTGACCAGGAGTCCGAGGCATGCGTCACCATCTCTCACGGCACAGGACCACATGTTTGTGATGAGAAGTCCATGGTAGGCCTCACTCCAACCCGAGCATGGCTCCAACCCCTTCTCACTCTCAGCACCTGAAGGTCATGCTTGTTTTACAAATTTGGGTAGTAATAGGAGGATCTGTCTAAGTTACTGAGTGGTCCAGGCTGCAGGCTACCTGGGTCCCAAGCCTCGGCGTTTCCATGGTGATGTGGAGTCCCTCAGAGGCTCAGTAGCCATTGTAGGAGTCAGCTTTTCTGGATGAAATTAAAGATTTAATGTTGGGATCGGTGACGATGATGAAGATCACAGCAACTTCATCAGGAGAGAGTTGGAGGAACAAATGACAGGCTGAGTTCCCTCCACCCCCAAATCCACACTCCAAATGCTCCAAAATCTGAACTCTGTTGGTTACCAACACACAGGCCAGAGTGGAAAATTCCACACCTGACCTCAATGGGTCACAGTCAAAATGCCACGAATATTTGCTATAGCGATCTTCATCTGCATGGGGAAGGTGAAAATGAAAAAGAAGCAAATGTCAGATTTAGTCTTGGGTTCAAGGTAATTTATTATGAATATGTGAATATCCTAAAACCTGAGGCATTTGCATCCCAAGCCTTTCAGGCAGGGGGCCTACACCCCACTACGTGTGAACCCTTCAGTAGGGTTCTGCTGGGTCTCTGCCCACAGCTGTGGGAATCAAGCTTCTGTTATGCAAAATCAAAATTATTACTATTTGTGTGTGCATGTGTGCAGGAACATGTTCATGTGTGTGGGTGCCTGTGGGGCCTGAGGACAGCCAGCCTAGGGTGTTGTCCCCAGGGCACTGCCCACTCTAATTTTGAGATGAAGACTGATCCCAAACTCACCAACCAGACCCGATCCATCTCTACATCCCCAATGAAGCTCTTCAGATCATAGAGCGAGTGAACATCAGCAAGGCTGTGAACGTGAGGCTCTCGGGGTTCAAAGCCTCACCAACACACAGACAAGAGAACAGCTCATTACCTTGTCTGCGTGTTGCCAGTCACCAGTGGAACATACTGTTTTTCTTTGTCTCCTTGGGCGTTTCTTTGATGTCTTTATGACACACATATACACATCTGTTTTCAAAACAGTTATCCAGAGGAAGGATGGCACAGCCCGGCCCATGCAGGGTCCAGGAAGGAGAGGACCAGCCCTGTTGCCCATGGCGTTATACCTCCCCACCTCACTGTCCCTGACAAGGGACAGATGCTAATGAGAGTTTCATTGGCTCGGGTTTGTTTTAATTGAACCAGATCTATCCAACTTTACTGTGGCCTTCTGATGAACAGGGGAACAAAATCAATAAACATACCGAAAAATTGGGGCGTGTTATACGGCTAATTCAAATTTTATGTTATAATCATGCTTTAATGTGTCTTCTAATTGGGATAATTAAGCTGCCTGTGACAGTGTTGACTGGGACAGAAGCTGCCGCTGTGCCAGGATGATCCGCTGAAGGCTTTTTTGCCGATTTCGGATGCTTTTCTTTATTTGGTTGGGGTGTTTAGAGGGTGGGAGAGCCTTGGTGTGGAAGGAAGATCCCAGAACTCTGGATCTTCCTAGACAAGCCTCAGGTCTAACGCAAGGGCTGACCAGGAGACCCTCCATGAGCCTGAGGCTCTGTCAGATGCTGAATGAGCAGGAGCCGGGTGCTGTGATGGGCACCGAGAGGCGGAGTTAGCCATTGGATGTGGGAGAGCCCAAGTATGGTGAGGACCATGGGCCTGACACAGAGAGTCTGGGTGGGCGTCCCAGAGGAGGCAGCCCCTCAGAGAAGCTCAGAGGACAGCCCAAGTCAGAGGAAGCCCATGGTAGCAGCTGTGAGGTTCCAGCCAACGCAGCAGCACTGTTCTGTGTTGGAGATGAAAGGGTGGCGAGGATTGCCACACAGAGGGACTGAGTGGCCTGGACCACCGGAGGTCATGGATGACATTCATGACTCTCAACCCCTGCAGCTGAGGCTTTACATTTCTGAGGCTCATCTTCCCTCCTCCCTCACCCCTCCTTCAGCTCTCCTCCTCCCCTCCCTTCTCCCCTGCTTTCCTCCCTCCTGCCTTCCCTTCTTACCCCTGAAAAATGACGCATTGGGCGCTCATTCTCTGCAGGTCTCAGGTGTCTCCCCTTGGACTCCGCCCTGGTCCTTCTGTTACTGACCTTTTCAAAACACGCTCTGGCACCCTAGGTTAAGTGCCAGGTTATGGGCACCCCTTAGAGCTCTGGCTGCCCATGGGGCGCCACCACTCCCACAGCGCCTTACTATGTTCTGGGCATGTGATGTTGCAGCTCTCTGGATCTGTGTGTTAAATATTCGGTCACTCATCCATCCCATAGTCATCCTCTCGTGGGGCCCTCAGCAGCTGACCTTGAAGCAAGGATTGGGGTACATGGTGAAAGAGAGAGGTGAGCCTGGGAAAGAGAGAGCAGCCATGAAGAGCATCACCCCCATTCTGTCTGGGGCTCCACACTCCCGGGCAGGGCAAGCAGGGCCCTGCAGTACCGTGGCCTCAAGGTCATTCCCTGTAGGCAAGAGATTTGGGGATCTTCATGTGCAGTACTGGCTTCTACCAGTCCCCGATCCCTTAACTGCTGGGTGTCATGAGGTGACTTCCCAGACATCTGGGCTGCCACGCTGTTGGGGATGCAGATGTGAATAGCTAGGGGTTACTCATGGAGGCACGAAGGGCTTATTGACACAGGACAGGCAGTGGACTGCGGTGTTCACATTGCATTCAACACGTCTGTGCACACAGCATCTGAAGCTCACCTTCTGACCCATGCCTGCCCAGTGAGTGACCGACCACTCACTCCTGTCCTGCCCCGTGACTACCCCCCACTTATCATCGATATGTAATCTGCATTTGTATCCCTTTGTCACGCTTATTGGTGTGTGCAGACTTCAAGGTTTCAGGCCCCTTGTCTGACTCTCGCAGAGACAGGCTCCCCAGGGACAGGGAAGCAAGCTGGACAGTCTGCATTCTCCACACTGGAGACTCAGACGAGGGCTGAACAGCTCCTGAGGCCTGAGCTATCCCAGGCCAGGCTGCCCATAGCTGTCCTGGCTTCTGCCCATGGCTGCGGGGAGTTCATGCAGCAGCAGCTAGGCAGGTAGCCAGGTTGCACACTGCTCTGACAGGTGCACAGGAGGGCCAGGTGGCTGACACCAGGTAGGCCCCTCCTTCCTGGAGAAAGAAGATGCAGCTGTCTGCAGGTTGAGCCAGTGAGATGCTCAGCCATGTGTGACTCTCCACCTTTTCCGGCCCACAGGGACTGACTGGGAGACGTATCGACTTTCTCGATTCCGAGGCTAAATCCTGACGGTGAGCTGGTGTCCCTTCTATTTGACTGGTCTGCAGGGTACGTTGAAGTAGATGGAGCTCTGCGTGCAGAGAGACATGCTACTCTAGTGAAACAATGTTTCTCTGTGTAGCCCTGGCTGTCCTGGAACTCACTCTGTAGACCAGGCTGGCCTCAAACTCAGAGATCTGCCTGCCTCTGCCTCCCGAGTGCTGGGATTACAGGTGTGCGTCACTATGTCTGACTTCATCTTTTTTTTAATAGGTGGTGAAACTGAGGCTCTAAGGAAGAGTCCCAAGTGGAAGTACCCCGAAGGGCCAGGCTCTGAGGCCTCCACTTGGCAAGTCCAGCTGCTCTGGGTTGGAATAGAAACAAGACTTCCAGAGATCCAGGGCACTGCACGCAGCTGCTGTTATTGATGGATGCTCACGGGTAATGAACTTCAGTGACCCGAGTAATTACAGGTGAGGCTGAAAGTGTAAATAGGATCCTCATTAATATAAAGCAAAGTTCTCTGCTATACAAATGACCAGAAAAGGCATTGGCCAAGCATATCTTTAAAATTTTTATTTATTTATTCATTTAACTTCCAGGAAAATAAACATTTCAGAGTGTTTATAAAACACACAGAATAAGAGAAAGCAAAGCCAGACCCAGTTCTTCAAATGTATATGAGTACAGCTGTCATGGTGTGTATGAACATCACCACACACACGTATAGGGTGAGCCTGTCCCACTGAGTAGGAGAGTGTATGGACCCAGGACCTGTCCTCAAGTGGTCACCCATAGGAAGCAAGAACATGTTGCTGTTTGTCTTTGTTCTTTTAGGGAGCCAGCTCCCAAATAAATACACATGGAGGCTTATCCTTAATTATTAATGCCTGGTCTTAGCTTGGCTTGTTTCTTGCTAGCTTTCCTTAACTTTAAATTATCCCGTCTACCTTTTGCCTCTGGACTTTTCCCATTCTCTTACTTCTGTAATCTTACTCTTACTCTGTGGCTTGCTGTAGCTGGGTGGCTGGTCCCTGATGTCCTCCTCCTTCTCTGGCTCCTTCTTCTTTCCTCCCAGATTCCTCCCCCTATTCATTCTCTCTGCCTGCCAGCCCTGCCCATCCTTTCTCCTGCCTTGCTATTGGGCGTTCAGCTCTTTATGAGACCATCAAACGTTTTACATAGACACAGTAACACAGCTTCACAGTGTTAAACAAATGCAACATCAGCAAAAGTAACACACCTTAAAATAACAGTCTACAACAAGAACGGTTGAAGGTGCACAAGATACATCATGTTGATCAGATACAGGGAAAATACAAGCTTTACATGTCACGGCAGTGCTGCGAAACTCTAAACCTCCACCCAGGGAGCCGTAAAAAGAGCAAAAGAGGAGAAACCGCTTCTAAATAATCACGTGCTTTTCTTTCATAAGCTATCCCCCCTCAACCCACACAGATGTGAAGAGAATACATTGGAAGGGGCAGAAGAATGTGATGGGCAGGGTCAGTGAGTAAGGGAATTGGGAGTCAGAAACACTTGCCACAGACGAGGGTTCTGAAAGCCAACTCCCTCCCCTCCCCTCTCCTCTTCTCCTGGTCCTCCTTCTCCTTCTCATCTCCTCTCTCTTCTTCCTCCTGCTCTGGGAATTGACCTAGCGTCTGACACATGCTAGGCAAGCATCCGTCCACTGAGCTGTCTGCCCAGCTCTGGAAGTTTCTTGAGCTGGAGCCTTTGGTACAGTGCAGACTCAAGCAGCGCTCAGCTGCACTGACCGGAGGGAGCTTGGACATGTACAGACAGTCAAGGGGCTCCTGGACCGTCTTCTACCCCAGCCCCCTTTAAAGTCCCAGTTGGAGTTTATTTCCCGTCACATGGCCACTATCTACAGAGACTGCTTATCAAAGCAGTGAGGGATACAATGAATCAGACCTTGGGACCCGTTCCTGAAACCCGGCTTGTATTCTAAAAGTGGCAGATACTGCTTGATTGTGGTTGTGCATCCGTGTGTGTGGCTGTCCCATTGTTTCAGTGCCGTTTAATAGAGGATCGTCCCTTCTCTATCGATCTGTCTTGGTGATTTTGTTGCAGATCAATGGGCTGTAAACTGCTGGTCTATTTCACTACTCCTCAACTCTATCCTATTCCGTCGATACACATTGTGTTTAGGCCACTATCACATGGGGTCCTGCTGCCCATGACCTCATCTTACAGTTCAGCACAGTAAACCCTTTCATTTTGTTCTTCCATCAAAACGGTTTCACATGAGGATCCATCTCAAGCACCACAGAAATATTCTTAACCCTCTAGGTCCTTTGTCTTCCATATCAATTATACAAATTTCAACAGGCAAAGAGTCAATGAGGTCTCTACTGGGGATCCATGGAACCTGTGGCTTGATGTTCAGGGCCCTGGGTAGCTTTTCTAGCAAGCACGTTAGTTCTACATTCCTACTCTTCCTCCACCTCCAAGGCCATCGGCACCTCCTCTGGCTTGTTTGCGTTCAGGACAGAGTTGGACACCTTTTGCTGATTTTTTGCCAAGAACTGGTTTTGTTTCCATGGATTCTGTTTCCTTTCCTTTCTCCCTCCCTCCCTCCCTCCCTCCCTCCCTCCCTCCCTCCCTCCCTCCCTCCCTCCCTCCCTCCCTCCCTTCCTTCCTCCCTATTCCTCCCTCCTTTCCTTCCTTCTTTTTAAGTATTTTCTTTCTCTTGGGTTTAATCAGATCTTCGTGTTCTCAGTCTGTAAAGGTGAAAACTGGCCTTACTGCCTCGAGAACTTCCTCCCTTTCTAATGTGCCACAACACTAGATGCCACCAAATTCTGGTCCAGCCTCGGTTTCCAAAAACAGGAATTTTCTAGATGTCTCTTCTTGCTTTTTGATTTCACTCCACTGTGGTTAGAGACTATGCTTTGCAGTATTAAATCGTATTTACTGAGACTTGTTTGATGGCCCAGAAAATGATCTCTATTGGTAAAATATTCCATGTGTACTTGAAAAATAAGTATTCTGCTGGCGTTTGGTCTGCCATTCCATAAATGTCAATTAGGCCCATTTGGTTGATTGTGTTTCTCAGCTCCCAATACCCGTATTGATTTTATGTCTGCCGGTCTATTAATGATTGGGCTGGGGGGACTGAAATCTCGGGTTGTAATTGTGGGCTTGTCTGTGTTTGATTTAGTTCTATCAGTTGTTGGTTCTCATATTTTGAAGTTTTGTGATAGATAAATACACATTTACAATTGTTACATCCTTTCAATGAATTTACCCCTTTATCACCGTGGAATGACCCTCATTATCCCGAGGAGGGTTCTCCAGCCTGAAATCAACATTGTTAGGATATGATCTGCTCTCCCAAAGCACAGGGATGAAGTTATCAAAAGTGTCTAGATTGGTAAAGTTGATAGGTACCTTTTGGTTAAGGTTGGTGATACTGGCAATGATGGCAATGATGGTGGTGGTAATGGTAATGATGGTGATGGTGATAATTGTGGTGGTGGTGGTGGTGGTGATGATGATAGCAATGGTGATGGTAGTGATGGTGGTGATGGTGATGATGGTGATGATGATGGTGGTGGTGATGGTGGTTGTGGTGGTGATGATGATAGTGATGGTGATGGTAGTGATGGTGGTGATGGTGATGATGGTGGTGGTGATGGTTATTGTGGTGGTTGCTGTAGGATGTCTTTCTGTATGCTGTGAATATATGCGGTTCCCATTGGATAATAAAGAAAGCTGCCCTGGCCTATGGCAGGACAGGCTGGAGCCCGATGGGAAAATCCAAGAGAGAGAGTGAAAGAAGAAAGGGGAGTGGAGGGGGGGGGGCGCCAACCCGCTGTCCAACGAGCAGCATGTGATGGAGCACAGGTAAAGCCACGGGTCACGTGGTACATAGGTTAATAAAACTGGGTTGAATTCAGTTATAAGAGCTAGCTAGCAAGAAGCCTGAGTCATAGGCCGTACAGTTTGTAATTAATATTAAGCCTCTGAGTAATTATTTTATAAGCAGCTGCAGGTCCACGGGTGGGAGAGATTTGTCTGGACCTCGGGGCGGGTGGGACCAGAGAAACTTTCCTCCTCAGGTGGTGATGGTGATGGTGATGATGGTGATGATGATGATGATGACGGTGGTGGTGGTGATGGTGGTGATGATGGTGATGATGGTGATGGTCATGGTGATGATGGTGGTGATGGTGATAATGGTGATGATGATGGTGATGATGATGATGGTGATGGTGATGATGGTGGTGATGATGGTGATGATGGTGATGGTGGTGATGGTGATGGTGATGATGGTGGTGATGATGGTGATAATGGTGATGGTGGTGATGGTGATGATGGTGATGATGATGATGGTCATGGTGATGATGGTGGTGATGGTGATGATGATGGTGATGATGGTGATGTTGGTGGTGATGGTGATGATGGTGGTGACGGTGATGGTGGTGAGGAACATAATGGACACTGGTGAACTGTTCCTGTCTTCCAGGAGCTGATAAATCTACTTCAGCTACTGACATAGAAATGCAGACACGAGACTTGAATCTAAAATGTCCCCTAAGTCTTGTATTTCAAGCACCAGGTCCCTAGATAGTGGTGCCGTTTGGGGAGGCTGCACCACATTGCCGGGCTGGCTGGCAGCTGTGGACTCTCAGAGGCACTGTTGAAGGTTGTGCCCGCCTGTGTTCTAGACTAGCTCTACACTTCCTGGCACCCGAGATGGGAGAGCCATCTTCTCATTCTTCCTTTGCCACAGCTGGAGCAGCCCAGATGGAAGGCTTCACAACCCTCTGCCCTCCAGGCGTGTGCACCAGCTTCCTCACATTGAGGTCGTTCTCTGTCCTGAAAAGGGGATGGCACTTCCCCTGTCCATTGTCCACTAATCCCACCTCCATACTGTTTGCGCCCCCAGTGGTGTGAGGACTCGGGGTTTGTCAAGTCTGCTGACTGACAGCTGTGGTTAACCTGAGGAAAACTGTTCAGGGGGGGCATTCCCACTCCATATCTACAGGTGTGGGGCTGAGACACGGAGATGAGGGGCTGCAGAGGCTGGATTCCAGTCCACACGACTTGAGCAAGCCTGGTGAGCTGAGTGGCTACGTCACTTTCTCCCTGGAGTTAAGTTAATCTCTGGTCTTCTCTCCTAAGGCCAGTGATGGACCCAGATTTCAGATTCGCTTCTGCTTTCTGCCTGTCATGGTGAGGAATGGCCAGGCCTCCAGAGTTCCTGCCCAGATGAGGCTGTGGAGAAAGGGTCCCTCACCGCCCTGCCTCTGTGGAAGTGGCGTAGAGAACAGCTCAACTTCTCAGGTGAGCCAGAGCCCTGCATGTTCATTCCTGGATTGGTATTCAGACCCAGGGCCCTGGCTTCTACTTAATGCAACCCCTGTAAATTGCAAGTTAGGCCTGTCTGAGTCTGTGGCGACATTACTGTTGCACAGAACCCCCTTTTCAGATTGCTGAAGAAAAAAAAAGGGGGAATAAAAACACATGACTATGTGTTCCTGTTCTTCAAATGCCACTTCTCTGAGGACACATTTCTTCAGCAACACATCCTGGCACCCCAACCCCCCCCCCCCAGCCACCCCCAAAGCCCCCTGCAGAGCAGGGCAGGCTCTGTTTTCTAAACAGCTGCCTGCAGTCCCAGGCTGGGCTCTTGATCGGGTTCTCTCCAGTCTTTGGGAAGCATGAGAAGAATAATGCTGAGAGAATGCTGGGAAAGGCACACTTATTCACCGTAAAGGGCTCTCCTGGATCCGGCCATCCTAATTCCCGGCTGCCTTTACGTGCTCAGTGTCCTTTATGAAGCGGTGCTCCGCAGAAGTGGCCACCCTTTTTAAATAAAATGCCTTATTTGGCAAAACAGAAACCAGAACGTGCTCCACCCATCAGTCAATCAGTTGGTCAGTCAGTCCATTTCTCTCTCTTTCTCCACTTCTCTCCCTCCCTCTCTCCTTATACCCAGACATGTACAATGTATATACACATACATACATATATATATATTCATGCAAACATACACACATGTACATACACATACATAGAGAGATACATACATACATATACATACATACATAATACATACATACATACATTCATGTATACATTTTTAACTTATAAGTGATGTTGAGACCGCCAAGAGTCATTGACCTGGTGTCAGGGTCACGGGGAAGAGGAAACGTCACGCACTCCCTCTCACCTGTCACAGGGTCTGCTTGTGAGTTAGCGTCACCCCTGCCGTTTTGGCACCATTTGCTCTTGGGTAACGGTGATAATGACAAGGGCTTCTGCAACAGAGATACTCCCAGGGGATGTCCGTGCCAAGCACGCCCGGATCCTCCCGCTCCAACTGTATTGGACCCCTGCAATCCCATGGGTACCATGGCGATCGCCCGCTGTGGACTGTGTCCAGGGCTGAGTACAAAGAGGCCGCTTGCTTTCCATCAGCGACAGGGCTGGGGGCGGGGAGAAGCCGAGGTGACAGCCTGGGCTTCAGCACCACCGTAGTGTCACACCGGCCTCACTCTCGAGCCTCCGAATTTCTTCATCAGTCAAATAACTGGTGAGGGCCGGAGAGGGGGCTCTGTGTAAGAACACCTTGGTGTTCCTGCAGGGATTCCTGGATCCGGTTCCCAGCACCCACACGGCAGCTCACAACGGTCTGGAACTGCAGGTCCAGGGGGATCCAGCTCCCTCTTCTGACCTCCATGGGCACCAGGACACACCCACCGTGCACAGACATACATGAAGGCAAAACACCTATATATAGATTTTTTATTTTTTTGTTATTTGAAAAAAGAAAAAGGAAAAAAACTAGCTGGTGGTATTTGCTTGGAGCCCAGTACTTAAAAGACAGAGATGGGGGATCAGGAGTTGAGGCCAGCCTGGGTGACTTGGCAAGGGCCTGTCCCGAGCAAGCTAACCATCAGAATTTGGGCTGTGGGGGATAAAGTAATGTGGGAACTGGGATGTGTGGCCCAGCCACGGGGTGTGCCTGACGGGCACAAGTTTTTATTTTATTTTGTTTTTCCAGGCATTTTCCCTCGAGACTTCTCAGAGGAAGCAGGTTAGCTGAGCAGTCGGAAGGGTCTGGAGTTAATCCTGGCTGCCTCTCTCTCTGCTGGGAAGCCCTAGGTAAGCTGCTCCCTCTCCGTGCTTACCGATGACGATGATGGCTGAACCGAGGGACTCGGCTGCTACGGAGGCTGACGTTCCTCTTCTGACCACCGTGCCTGGATTCCGTGTCTCTGGTTCTCCCCTCCTGGACAGGATCCATGGCTCACCGTAGCGGTGTGTGACTAGGAGTTCCTGCCCTAGGCCTGGTTGGGCTGGTTCCCTCCAGGTCTGAGCTGCCTGCCGGCCAAGCCGCTGTGCCAACCTCCACGAAGGGAGGCCCGGCCAGCCACAGAAGAGAGTTCATGAGCGCGGAGTTAAACTCCATTTCCTTTAGCAGAGGGAGCCGTGCCCGCCTGGGCCAGGTGCCAGGCCAGAGTGCAGCTGGCAGAGAGCTGCCATGGCCACACCTGCTCCTAATGCCTACAGTGTGCAGCCATGCGTGGAGCCAGACTTCTGCTGCCAGCGCCGAGGGCGTCCACTCTGAAGCTCATTGTGCCGACGGGCAGAATGAAGCTCGGCTTGACAAGACGCCTCTCAACGATGCCAACATCCGAGGCCGGACTTGGGCCGCTTCTCCCATCCCTCCTTTCATGCATTTTTTTGTTTCTTCCCCGTCCTCTTGGGAACTCAGCGCTCACCAAGGGCTTTTGGGCTCCCGAGACGGCGCAGTGTGGTTCTCGTGCAAGCTTGAGGACCTGAGTTCAAGACCCAGAACTGGTGTGAAGAGAAGATGGGTGTGGCCTCATGCTCCGGGGACCCCAGGGCTGGGGAGGTGGAGACAGGAGGATCCATGGGGTGCCCTGGCCAGTCAGTCTCGCCTAATGTCCTGGAGTGGCAAAGTCCCTGTCTCAACCAAATAAAGTGGATCTGGGCACGGTGTGCACATCTTAAATCCCAGCACGCAGGGAGCAGAGATGAGAGGATCAGCCTGGGCTACAAAGTAAGACTCGGTCTCAACAAACACCCAATCAGACAAGTGAACAAAACCCTGTAAGACACTCAAGGAACAAATGATGACACCCAAGGAACAAATGACATCATTCCTCAAGAGTAAATGATGATGTCATATCTGAGAAATAAATGATGTCATACCTGAGGAATCAATTATATGATACCTAAGGTTGTCCTCTGGCCTACACACACACACACACACACACTCACTCACTCACTCACTCACTCACATATTCACATACACACTCACACATTCACACACACATACATATTCACAATCATACAAGCACACATGCATACACACATTCACACATACATATGTTTACATGGACATGCTCACACAGATACACACTGACACATGCACACATACATACACATAGTCACACATGCACATTCAGCCACATATACAGGTACGCACACACACAATTACATGCACAGTTGTACACACACACACACACACACACACACACACACACACACTCAGACAAAGATACAGAGAAAGAACCTCAACTACATAGAGCTCAAAGCTCCAGCTGCTTGAACTGAAGCCCTAGGTGTGTGCGGCCAGGAGGTCAGGTTTTCAGACGTGGGGTTCGGGGCTGCCTTGGTGTCCGCGGTGGCCCTACAGGATCTGGGGATGGAATCACGCTGAGACCGTTCCCCCATGGCTGCAGCCAATGGGCTGGTCGTCCAGGCGCCAGACCTCGGGGCTCCTTTGTCTCTTTGGAATAAGCTCAACCTGACCGAGGATCTTTCCCGCCTGCGGCCAGACAGATGGGGCGCATCTTGCGCTTTGATTGGCACAGCCACGCGTGACCCAATGCCAGGGACACACCGAGAAGCATGTCACCGGGCATCCTCATCATGGCGTGAGCATCACAGCGTGACGCGAGGTCGTAGGGTGGTCGGGTCCTCACAGCAGTCTGTGGTAGACTGAGATATTGGAAGTGCAGGGGTGGAAGGACCTGGCTGTCCCAGGCCTCGCTCTTCGTGTGCCCTTCCCTCACCCACCCTGACATCAGGGCCCTGGGAGAGTGACTTCCTGCTGGTCCCGGGACATGCGGCCTGGCTGTGTTCCAAAGCACACGGACACCAGCAGGCAGGTTCTGCTGTGGCCTCACCGGAAGTGCCTCACGCTCGCTCATGGTGTTCTCCGGGCTGGGCAGCTCCTAGGGCTGGAGGTACCGCGCAACCTGGGAGCCATCTGTGGCGTCAACCCTACAAACACGTGTGTGGCCCAGGCAGCAGGGGCCCTGGCAGCCTCGCAGCTGAAGACACCTGTCCTCCTGTCGGAGGAGGCCGGAGCTGGAGGCCTTCCAGGGCTCCGCCGCTCCTTCAGCTCTCGCCAGCTTAGGAAACCGGAGCCCGGGGCTCCCTCCGTCCCTCTGCGCTCCAGTTCCTGCTCTGGTTCTTGGTATTTGAGGCCAAAAATAAGGAGATCCCCCCCCCCCTTTGCTGTTCAAACATTTGACATTTTCCGCTGAAGCACGAGGTTTTCCGTGCGGTAGGTTCTGTTGCAGACACACAAAATCTGCCCGGAGAATTCACCACCAAGGCTTTGATCCCGGAGTCCCTTTCTTCTTCCTTCCCCAGGGTGATCAGGGAGCTCTCTTCCCACCGCTGGGAAGGTGGGCCACACGGGGCCCTGGGACTGCGCACAAGCAAGCATGGTGTTCACGATAAATACATTATGACACAATGGACGCCTTCACACAAGCCAGAAGACACGACCCAGAATGGTTATGACCCATGTGGACAGGGAAACACAGGCTAGGAATCTCAGCCACTGAGGTTTCATGTCTGGGGCTTTCTGTCCACCCGTCCAAGACCGAGCTCTGAGATCACGATCACGCTGTGGTCCTGGTACCAATTCCCGTTTGTTCTCTTGAGTGTGGACCCCTCGGTTCTTCACTGTCTCCCTCCCGCTCCATTCCTGCCTCCCTGTCCCTCCCTCTTTTCTCTTCATTTTTCTTTCTCTCTCCCTCCTCTCCTTCCTCCTCCCTTCTCCATCTCTCCCTTCTTTCTCTGTCTCTGTCTCTCTTTCTGTCTCTGTCTCTCTTTCTGTCTCTGTCTCTGTCTCTGTCTCTGTCTCTCTCTCTCTCTCTCTGTCTGTCTCTCCTTTATTTCTTCCTTTTAAAGCTAATTTAGGCAGGGCAGTGGTGGCACACGCCTTTAGTCCCAGCACTCGGGGAGGCAGAGGCAGGCAGATCTCTGTGAGTTTGAGGCCAGCCTGGTCTACAGAGTGAGATCCAGGACAGGCGCCAAAACTACACAGAGAAACCCTGTCTCAAAAAACCAAAAACCAAAACAAAAGCTAAGTTAGTCTTACTTTTCACGGTAACTGTAGGTATTCACGGGTGCCATCCCAGCACACTGAACTGACGTGTCAGGACAGTTGACCAGGCTGCCGGTGTCCCCCGGCCGGATCCTTTCTTTGTGTCGGGAGCTCTCACAGTTCTCTGCACAGCTATTGGGAATATTCCATGGGCAGCTGCCAACCACAGCTGCCCTACTGTGCGCACAAGATCAGAAGTGAGCGCTCTGTGCCGCTTCACCGTTCACCCTCCACTTCATACCCCCCACTCTGTGTGTGTCAGCGTGGGATGGTAGGCGTGTGGGAGCATGTGTGTGTGTGTGTGTGTGTGTGTGTGTGTGTGTGTATGTGTGTGTGTGAGCCTGTGTGTACGTGGGTGTGGGAGCACGTGTATGTGTGTGTGTGTATGTGGGTGTGGGAGCCCGTGTGTACGTGGATGTGGGAGCATGTGTGTGTGTGTGTGTATGTGTGTGAGCCCATGTGTACGTGGGTGTGGGAGCACATGTGTATGTGTGTGTGAGCCCGTGTGTATGTGTGTGTGTGAGCCCGTGTGTATGTGGGTGTGGGAGCACCTGTGTATGTGTGTGTGAGCCCGTGTGTACGTGGGTGTGGGAGCACATGTGTATGTGTGTGTGTGAGCCCGTGTGTACGTGGGTGTGGGAGCACATGTGTAT